GCCATCCACCTATTTGTAAGCAGCAGGGAAGGAAGATGATAGTGGGGGTAATCTCTCTGAGAAGACTAGGGGGCTTCACATCAAGGGTTTAGTAAAGGGTTTAGCCTTGGCAAGGAGAAAGACCTCATCTTCATGGAAGGTAAGAGTGCAGTGGTGGTGGTGGGGAGATGCCTGAGTGCTGTGAGACAAGGAGAAAGGGAGAAGAGGGAACTCTTGGCAAAATGCCTCCTTTTTTTTCTTGGTAAAGTATGAGGTGAGGTCCTCAGTGGAGGGTGTAGGGGCAAGAGGCCGTGGGAGGCTTGAAGAAGGATTGAAAGGTTTGGAATAGGCATATGATGAGTGGGACAGTGAATTAATTAGAGAGGTGTAGAAGGATTGTCTTGTGATGATGAGGGTTTTGAAGATTATGTGACATAAATATATAGTGGACCCCACCCCATTTTTGGTTGTCTCCAGCTCTATTCAATAGTGTGAGGACAAAGGAAGAAGGCAACAGATGGTGGGAATAATTCAAGGCTAGAGTTTGGCAAGGCATGATCGACAATAGGATAAATGGACAAAGGACTCAAGCATGTAGGATACAGTAGAGATGTACTGATTCACCAAGGGGATAAGATAAGGAAAGCAGAGGGTTTGACCAGTTCAAGTGTGATGATTTGGGAAAGAACTGAGGGGTGGGGAGATCAGATGTCAAGGTGAAGACAAAGATCAGGGTTGGGGTCATAAGGCATAGGATAAGATAGAATGATAAAAGACTGTAATCTGATAAAGGAAATTCAGAGTTCATGAACATGGAAATCGAATATTTGTGAATGCTGGCAAGATCCTCCAATTTTTATGCACAGTTGACATGGAGTGGAATAAGTCATGGACATTGAGTAGATTGAGAACTGGGAAACTAGAGTAGTTTAGAGAGCATCAAAAATGTATATCAAAGTCCCCTAGTTTGAGGGCAAGATTTGTGATGGAGAGAAAGTCTGTGAGCCAGGTTCTGAACTCATTGAGGTCCAGTTGGATTCAAATCCCATTTCTGAAACAAATTGGCTTTGTGACCCTGGGCAAGTCATTTAACCTGTTGGTGCTCATCTGAATTGGTCAATATTCCTCACCAAGTGCTCCCTATACCAGAGGAATTACAGGTCTAGTCAGAAAAAAATACCCAAGTATACTTTGTGTAAGTAACATTTATATCATGAGAAGCAGGCCCTGCTTAGTATATAGAGAGCTTGCCTCAGTGTCTTCAAGTGCCACTTCTGGAACATTTTGGTTTTATGACTGGGGGAAAGTCAAACTCTTGGTGGGCTAGGCAAAACTCTATGACTAAGTTGCCAAGAAAGTGCCAGCCTGGTATTACCTGAGGAGATTTCCTCTACTTGTGGTCAGCTCTGAATACAGTACGCATATATTAGAGAGAGATTTGGGCTTGGGGTTTGGGTTTGGGCTGAATCTTGAATCCTCTACTTGACATTTGTTAACTGTTATTTAGGGGCAAATCACTTTATGTTTTTGAGCCTCAGTCCTCTTCATCTGTAAAATGGAGAGGGAAGGAAGTAATATACTATCTGCAGGTTGCTGTCATGTAAATTTCGATTATTATCAAATACTCATGGATTCTAACTTCAGCAATGAATGCAGAAGGCTGTAGATCAGTCTTGAAGGAGCCCGGGAGAGATAGAACTTCAACTTAATGCTCCAAGTCCTATCATCCTTAGCTTATCCTTGACATCAAGACCGCACAGATATGTATGAGAAAGGCAAGTGGTCATTTCTTCTGGGTGATAAGTATTATTATTGATGAAAGATTATTCTGAAACTTTTAGGCCTGAATGGTGAAGATGACCAGCCCTACTCGGTTCCTCGTTCATTCACTTTCAGGTGCCGATACTCCCCTCTTTGCTGAAATGTCCATCTTTCACATGGAGTTGGCCCAGAGAGTGATTTCCCACATATGAAGTTTCCAAGGCTGGGGTACTATACAGTTCCTGAGGGAACAAGAAAGTTAATTAACTTTCTGGATCCTCATGGGTAAAAAGTCCTAGAGGTGAGATTTAGCTCCTCTGATTCAGAAGCCAGTAATCTCTTTCTACCATATCACACAGCCTCCCCTTGTCTGAGCTCCTCATTTGACATAGTTGAGTTTCCTCGTGATTCTAGTCACCTCCTTTGGATTTGCTCCAGATTTCTGAGTGTCCTTCCAACTCTCTCATTTTATGAATGAGGAAACTGGTGCGGAGAAGGTGAAGGGACTTGCCCAAGGTCACTTAAATTTCACACAAATGAAACTGATACTGCAGTAGGTTTTGTCTATCAAATGCTTAATGTACTATCACAACTCCAAGAGAAAGAAAACCTCAACAATATACTAACTGAAGTATGTGGTCTCATCTTAATATGCCTGCTTAAACAATATCTTGGATCTGAGGTCCTGGAAGATTCATTCATTCATTTATCTCTCCATCCATCCATCCATCCATCCATCCATCCATCCATCCATCCATCC